TGTTTTGAACTTTTAAAATATTACATGGTAAAAACAGAAGCTGCTCTTCATATTAGTGACAAACTTTGGTGTTAAACATCTGAGTGGTGCACTACTGCTACTAGTGGTGAAAAAGTGTATTGCACCTTATTCAAAATCAGTGTGGTCCCACCGCCCTCTGCGGCCCAAAATTAAAAACTATTGTACTTTTGAGGCCCTCAAGGGGGCGCTTGCGGGCCAGAATTGGGCCGCGGCCCATAGGTTAAGAATCTCTGATGTAGATGATTATTTTGAATTTAGGAACAAACCTGTGGCGTGTTCCTCGTTTTTAGCAACCCCCCGTAACTCCCCCTAAAGATGGGATCGAGCAGTGGGCCACCGACGACATCCCGGACTTCCTGAACGCCATCCGCCGAGAGACGGACGCTCTGAAGAAGCTGGAACAGAAGACCAACGTGGTGGGAACCGTTGCCGTGTCGGTCGCTGCAGCCCCTCCACAAAACCTGTGGGCCAAGCTGCAGGAGGTGAGGCTGAAGAACCCCGTCAGTGGTCTCATGGAGTACGCCCAATATCTGGGCCAGAACTGTGAGTTCTTGCTTCTGGACCAGTCGGGACCCTCTCACGACCCAAGGTTTGTGGTTTGATCTTGTTCTGTGAAGTTCTGTGTGTGAGAGATGTTGAAGGAATACATTGTGTGTGTAACTGCTGAGCTGTAGGTCAGTGATGCCAGCAGGTGGAGTTACATATTTACAGTAGTACCTAGACATGAGACGAATGAAACTCTGACGGTACGATAACCTTAGGCAGAAAAATCACAGTTTCACGGTATGACCGTATTATGGTTACAGCTTTACAAAGTTTTATTTTGAAATTGGTATTAAAAAAAGGAAGAAAACATCTTTTCTATTATCATATTCAACCTTTTTTATCTGTTTTTAGATCTCAGAGGTGTGCTGAAATTTTATTTACCTGTGTGCATCTGTACTTATGATTTTTAGCACCTAATGCAATTAGATTATCCTGATAAAGTTTACATCTAATATAGGATAACTGCTTTTCCACTACCTTATTAGTTAAGACAAAACGGTGTATACTGCACGACTATTCTTTTTATTGAAGCAATGAATCACGGAGGTTTTTATTGCGTTTTAAATTTCAGAAGGCTTTTTGACGTAAAGATTATATAATTAAATGCGCACAGAAACAAGAAATCACAACTATGATGCGTGTTTATGAAACACACGTTCAGCTAACGAGCTGCTCGGCTAAAGGAGGCATTCAGTTTTATCACCTTTCACTTAAAACTTATCAAATACACAATCCAACAACTCAAACAGTTTTGGAGACCAGCTGTGACCAGGGCATTAAGCCACAGCAACACAGCGATATGTTTCACAATCTGATGCTAAAGTTAGCTCGTTCACTTCAAGATAACGTAACTTTATCTGGAGCTGCGATCATGTTAGATGTGTTGTCTCCACGGTCCACATTCCATCATCTTTACAGCATCCTAAGTATTTTCAAACAGCTGGATTTATTATTTTAGACAGGGGAAAGTTTGTGGAGCTCTGTTCTTCAGCCGTAACACAGAGTGCTGCTGATAGGCAGCTCTGCAGGGTGCGCGGGGGGAAAGTCTGCAGCAGCACAGACCGGAGGAAAAACAAAAAACTTTTATACCGTAGGCATGGTATGACAGAACATTTTAGTGGTTTTCAAACCGTGACTTTTTCATATCACGGTATACCTGGAAACCAGTATCCGGCCCATGCCTCTTAGTACCATAAGAACTCCCATTCAGTTAGTAATAAACAAATTGCAGTATTTTTATTCTTTAAATGTTTTATTTTTAAAACACTACAGCTTTGATTGGTGACCTTTAACGGGTGATCAATGTAATTTTTCTCTTCTTGTTAGGTTTCGTATGCAGGTGATGCTCAACGGCAGATTGTTTCCCGCCACAGAGGCTTCAAGTAAGAAGGTTGCAAAAAAGGACGCGGCTGCAGCCACCCTGCGGTTACTCATCAGTGAGATGCAGGGAGGGACGGCCTCGTTAAGTGATGGGAATCCTGTCAGTGGAGAACAGATGTTGGACTTAGACACAAATGTAAGTTTTTATTTTACTGTATTAACATGAATCTGTCGTTGCTCTGAATGTTTACATGTATCTGTATCCTCCAGGCCTCAGCTGAAAACACGGTGGGGACGTTTGGCTCCAGCACTGTGGAGGGGTCAGTAGAGGGACCTCGCCAGCCTCTGTCCAGGTCTCTGCCCGGTGGGAAGAATCCGGTCTCTGTCCTGATGGAGTACAGTCAGCGCAGTGGGAATCCCATCGAATTTATCAACACTGGGCAGGCTGGTCCACCACATGACCCGAGGTACTGGTTCCCTCATCTCTGTTTAAATCGTTCAGATGTATTGATGTAGGAATTGACAGAGAAAGTGTTGTTGGATACATTAGTTCTTTAAGAAACTAAGAATAATTTTCTCGATCATTAAGAAGTGATGGAATAAGATTAAAGGAGAAGATGCCAGAATTCATATGATGCTGCTACAGCTGATATATATTTGTTGTCAAAATACCTTTTTGTACATATGTTGTTAAAATAAAATGAACAGTCCAATGATCATTTTACTGATATGTATAAA